AAGAATATATTATTTTTTTATAATTGAATTGTTTAGGATTAATTTTTAGAGTTAGGATTTGTTTTATTTTCGCAAAAAATAGAATGAAAAGAATAGATCAAACTTGGTGCATCAGGAATAAATATTTGACACATATTTTACGCAAAAAAATTAATAAATTATTCGCCATATTTTGTGATTCTTATTAGAAAGATATAATTTAAATAACATATTTTATGATTAAACCCTTACTAAATTGTCCACCATTCTTTTGGAATCGCAACCTAGTCAATGATCTAGACTCTAAACATTGCAGATATTCGACATGTCATTGTCTTATGACTGACTATCAAACAAAGGTTTGAGCCCATCACAAATGTCAAACTTTCAAATTAACCCTAAATTTTATTGGATGTCGGATTTAGGGCATTTATGGAAACCCAGATTTACCTGTGAAAAATATGCTCCAAGGGCTCAAGTTGATCATCTTTTGGGTTGTTCCCTCAGTACTGGTAGATAAAGTCATAAAGATTAAAGTGTCAAAACCCTAAGATGCATTAACCACTGCATTAAGTGTTAAAACGAGTTTGTTGTTGATCCAACGTTAAGCAACTAATTGTTAGCCCTACGCGTTTAATTAATATATGTTAATAAGAATAATGGAAAATAATATTGCCCCAAAAATTAAAGGAAATTTAAGAGAGAAAAATACCATGAGCTCGATTTTTTGGCTTAATTACAAATAAGTGCCCAAACTATAGTCTTTTGACGAATAGGTGCCTAAACTATTTTTTGAATGATTCTGGTGCTTAATTTCCACTTTAGGTGTTCGGATCGTCAACGACATTAACTTCCTCTGCTAAGTGACACGTGTCACATTCTATTAATTTTAAAATTTTAAAAAATTAAAAATATTTTTATATAAAAAACACAAAATTTTGAAATAATCTCAAAACTTTGAAAACTTTCATTTCAACCTCTAAACTCATGTCAGTCGCTGCCCTTTGTTGTCGACAAAGCTCCACTCGACCCACCTCTAGGGATGGCAAAAAAAACCCGAACCCGAAGGGGAAAACCGAATTAATCCAGGGGGGAAAAAATCGTTTATGCTAAACGGGGACGGGGAAAAACTGTTTATGTTAAATGGGGACGGGTTTAGTAATCACCGCCCCGATTACCCAGCCAGATATCCGACCCGATAAATATTAAAAATAATTATAATATATATATATAATATTAATAAATTTAAATTAAATTAAATATATATATATATATATATATAATATTTATATTTAATTTAAATATATATACCCTGCCCAATACCGTTTAAATAACCGTTTATGCTAAACTGGGATACCCGTTTCCCCGCGGTTTTCTCCTATTACCCGATGGGGATCCCTGTTTAAATCCCTGCAGTTTTTTAAGCGGGGAGGGGATGGGTTTTTTAAACGGGGACGGGGGGACCAATACCCGGCCCATTGCCATCCCTACCCACCTCTCTCGGCGACCAAAACACTTATGAAATTGTGATCGATCGACGACAAATCGATGTTTTATACCCATACACCTTAGGACGAAAATCGCGATCCCACGTAATTTCGGCGGCAACTACGACGACGTATGACTAGGAGGATGGCAAGGTTTACGTCGACGGTGGTGGATGTAATCGGAAAGGGTGGTGGTAGCGGGTTAGGGTTAGGATTTGGGGATTTTGAAGTTTTTTTATAATTTAAGAAAAATTAGGGTTTTTTTTAATAAATTTAATAATATTTTTAAATTTTTAAAAATAAATTTTAAAATTGTCAGATTATGACATGTGTCATTTAACGGAAAAAATTAACGTTGTTGATGGTCGGGTACCTAAAGTGGTTACGTTAGTAAAATTAGGCACCGGAATTATTCAAAAAAATAGTTTATCTCTAGTTTAGGCATTTATTTTATATTTAAAAAAATAAAATACTTTTTTTTATTAAAACGATTCTAAATAATCTCAATTTTTTTTCAAATACTTAAAAATAACGTTTAAACTTAAAAATAACGATTAAACTTGTATAGAATAATATTTGACATGAATATAAGGGATAGGAATGAAACCCGGAAAAAACTATGTATAACCTCAAGAAAAATAATAAACAAGAATGCAACCACTTTTATCCGTATATAAGTCAACTATGCAACGTCTTTTGAAGTGACAAAAACCTACAACATTCAAATAAACAAAAGAAAAATGGAGAAGCTGTCTTGTTATGTTCTCGTGCTATTATCATTCTTTTGTTTTCATTTGTGTCTTTCAGGGAATCTAAACACCGGGACAAACCTAGCTGTTAATTCTGGGGGCTCTCCGGATCCGGGTAAGCTTGAGTACCACATGGGTCCTGTCCTTGCATCGCCTCTCAAACTGTATATTATATGTTACGGTAACTGGAACCAAACCCACCAAAACACCATAAGGGATTTCCCGAGTTCCTTGTCTTCTCCAGCAATTGATCCTTCTGTTGCTGAGTGGTGGAGCACTGTCAGGTTCTATTCCGACCAAACAGGATCAAACGTCACTGATTGCATTACCCTTTCGGGGGAGTTCTTTGATTCCAAACTTTCACATGGTCCTCGTCTCAATCGCTTATCGATGCAAGCCGTCATCAAAAGTGCGGTCACTTCCCAGCCGAAGCCATTGCCTCTCGACCCTCGAAACGGCTTCTATTTGGTGCTAACTTCATCTGGTTGATGAATTCTGCAGGGCGGTTTGCGCCTTTCATTACTTCACCTTCCCAGCCACTGTTGGTGTAATAGTTCCTTATACTTGGATTGGTTACAGTGTAACTAAGTGATAATCGTCGTATTACTATCAAAATAATTTCGGCTTCTTAATAAATAAAAATAAAAAGGTAATATAGAGAAGCATGGTCAATCCACATGAATTGTGGTGTTTCTGATTTAATAAACTCTTTTTTGATTTTAAAAAAAGATAGAATTTCATATGAAATTGAAAAAATATATTAAAATAAAAAAAAATAATATAAGAATAAATATTAATAGTAATAAATATAAAAGGAGATTTTAAAAGTTATTTTTAAAATAAAAAAAATAAAAAATAAGAATCAAATAAAAGAAAAATAATTAAATAAACAAATTAAAGAGATTGAGATAAAGGGAAACTTATTGTGAAAGCAGCCTCAGACTTTAGCTTTATCTCAAATTCCACGGATCATCGAAACATATTTTTACTTCAAAATTTACGTCGGTTACTGCAAGAACAATTCTTTGTTGCCAACTCGGATTGCGTCGTTTCAACAATGACTGATTCCAATATCAGTTTCCTCTTAGGAAACAATTTTGCTAAGTGTGTTCTCGGGAAGTTGAATATGCTTTAATAAGCAAATCATTATTTAAACGTTAACCATAACAATATCTGGACTAATGTCGAAATCGTTTTGATTTAAAAAGTAAGCTAAAAAAACAGAGAGAAAATCCGAAACGATTTAAGTACCTTACAATTCTCACGTTTGGAATTGAGTCTTCGCTTTAGTCTTCGGCTTGAAAGAAAATTAGCTAAGCATGATCAAAGTCATACTTAGCGTAATAGAAAAGTATGCGGAAATAGAGAGAAAGTTAGAGAGAAAAAGAAGATTTTATTCTCAAATGAGAGAGATATATTTCTAGGCTCACCCTTAGAGGGTATTTATAGCCTTCAAATTACTAAAAACATCTTAAATCCTAATTAAAACACTTAAAACTATTTAAACTAAAATACCAAAAAAATGATATAATATTAAATCCTAATTAAAATACTAAAACCTATTTAAACTAAAATACCTAAAACAAATATAAAATATAAAAATAATATCCTAAAACTTAATTAAAATACTAAAACTTATTTAAACTAAAATATAAAGATAAATATAATGTTTAAAATATATAATGTTTAAAATATTATCCTAAACTTGAGTTTAATCTAAATCTGAATTCCAGCCAGCTTTGATTCTGAAAATAAAAAAATTGCAAAATTCTGTCATTTTTGTACAATTTCCATATCTGATGTACTGCACAGAAATGAATCAAAATAAACAATTAAGCCACAAAAACCAATGATTAATGAGTAATTTAAAAGCAAAATATTAACTAAATAAAACAATTATCACTCAGTGTCCGGGCATGTGTGCCTATCCATTTGCCTGGCCCGTGGGGATGCCACCACCACCTACTGCAAATGGAGTAATGCGCCCACCGAATGGGGACACTGGAGTTGACGGGATGATCAGTTTATAGCTCATGAGCTAGCCGAGTCTGCGACTAACCCACTGTGAATGCATGGTATGCTGGTGATAATCCACCTGCACCGGGTGAAATCGCCGACCTGTGTATAGGTACATACGGTACGGATGGTGGTGGTGCGTACGCAGGTCAAGTTTCAACGGATGCAGCTGGGAGTAGCTACAATCTGAATGAAGTTAAAGGAAGAAGGTTCATGGTTCAATGGGTGTGGAATCCTGTAAAGAAAAGATGCTTTGGACCTAATGCCATGGATTGAAAGTGTACCGCGTATAACAGCTTTGCCTCTTTCTTGCCATTTAGGCAACAAGAAAGAAAGGCACATACTTAGAAGCATAAGGGGTTGGTCGGCAATATAATAAATAAGAGTGAGCAGGCTTTTTGACAAATTTTGTATGTAATTTTAGAAAGAGCGACAAGGATGGTGATCCTTTGCTTGTTTAATTCACATATGCTTTTCTTGTATGCTAAAGAAGGATGTACAGAAAAAGCACTGTCCACCATGTTATGCATATTCTTCACGTTTGCAGCAGAGTTTGATTAAATAAATAAATTTGCAGAATTCAATCGTGAAATCATGCACACTATAAATTGAAACACCCGACCAACTTCCATTACTTTGGCGTTGGCTTGCATTATTGAGAAATCTAACATGGCTATCAGCGACAAGTTATTGTAATATCATACATTTTGATATATAAATAATGAAAATGGTAAATAAATAAACCCATAGATAATCCACAATTGCTACTCTATTCATTAGGCTTCCCATGCCCTGAAAATGATGTTCTATTTGCACAATGCCAAAGGTACATTATCACCTGAACATCAATGGCATGTAAATTACATAAGAATATTGATTTTGACTTGGTTGGGGAGCCTATTGAAGGAATGAGATTAGAGAAATTTACAACCTGAGAATTTCTAACATGACAGCGAAAATCCACAAATATCATTAAAGCATTTCGCAACGGCGGGTTAAAAAAATATTAGTATCATTAATTCTCGGGCAGAGCTGAAGAGAGAAGTGAAATTCACAACAATTCGGAGCAATGAATGCATGAATGGTTAATAATCCTGGCTACAACACTCTCTGGCTCTGGAGTGAGGGAAGATGTCACACTGTTCCAGAAATGAAACACCACAGATTTAGTCAGAATCTTGTTGAATAAAGCATCTTGCTGTGATTTCTCAGTTTCTGTCGTCAGGGCAACGAAGTATCTGTTTTTTTATCCAAATTAGTAATTGCAGAAGAGAGGGATTTAAGACTTCTCAGGTAAAGAAGTGTAACTAGTGCAATGCAAAGGCAAGTTAGAGAAAATTTTCACATGCAAACTGTAAACATTTGATTGCATAAAATGCAAGTTAGTGAGTCAGTGAGGAAGAGTAATTATAGGTAATACAACAGAGGTAGATGAACTGAGAGAAACGCCCAACATTCTAAAGAGATTTGAAGATAATGGAAATGGTTGAATGGCTCAATGTTCATCCTAACAATAAAGAAATCTACCCTGTGAAATCCAAGGCTTACTTATTTAAAATGTAGTTCTAGCCAAAACAATGCATGATAGTACGTTTAGCTGGAAGACAGATGCCCAAAATAAATATAATTACAAAAGAAAATCAATCAGTCAAACTACTGCGAACTAAGTCAATCACCATGGAGAAAAAATATAAAGTTGGAATTGGGGAGCATGGAGATGCTTCAATAGTCAGATTTTGCAACGATAAGAGCTATGCATCTTGTATGAACAGGGTTTGATACATTTATTTGTGCATAGCATACATGTTTATTGCCCAAAGTGAGTTGGATTTGTAAGAGAGACACACATGCATTTAAGAGATCATTTTCAAGAGTAGGGATATGTATGAAAAGAGTACCTTGTAATATGCCGATAACTAATAGGGAAGACAACAGAGGAAGGTTGCACATTCAACTCTGGCTGTTTGATGGATACATCGTTCTTTTTGTTTAAAAACCTTTTTGCAACTCTCGATAGAAGATCAGCCCCATTCCCTCTCAATTGGGTATCATCATACGCCAAATAAAATTCCTTCAAACACTCCATTATAAAAGGACTGCACAAGAGAATGCAAAAATCCAAGAATGATTTAGTTGCTGGTACAAGAAAAACCAATAATCTAGCAAAAATATGACAAAAGAAGGTAGCTCTCCTACAATTCCTTCCACCCAAAACTTAGAGAGAAAGACTTTTCTTTCCAGGTGAGGCAGCCCATGCGTTGTTTCTTTCACATGGTTTAGGTTATGAACCATTAACCATTCATCCCATTTCATTAATGGTTGAATTTTGCAACCCTCCACTCGAATTTGGAAGGTATATTGTACATATATGCTATGATTGAAGCTAAAATAAAATTATTTGATAAATTCTTTTCACACACCATGTTGCTGAGATCGTAGCCATCTACTGTTGTCTGTTGCTGCTTCTGAGAGCTGGTTGAATGCCAAAAGGGCTATTTGAGCCGCCGATGCCTTAAAATATTAATTATGCACAAGAAAATATCATATATGTATAAGTAATTATGCAGAGAGGCCGTCTCCATCTAGCCATCTACCTTAATTTATTCCACTCTGTCCCACACCATCTATTTTGATGCCTTTGCAAGATCTTAAAAGTGCTTCGCATTATTTCTCCTTTAATTTTCTCAATGCACATGTATATATACCATGTCCCCATATAGAAATCAAAGTATTCCGAGTTCATTATTTTTTATAATTTAATGCCTCATTGTTCTCGATTTAAATAACAAATCTGTAAGAAAGGAAATCTGCACCTTCAAATTATTATTTTAAGCTGACCCATATATTGTGTACCTTAGTTGATGTAAGAATTCCAGAAGTGGTCCCTTTGCATCATAATAATGCACTCATAGATTCTTAGTTAAGACTTCCAAATATTCTACTTCAAATTAAACATCAGAATCTCTACCTATCTTCAAAAATTCAACTTCAGTTTTTTTTTTGGGTAAAAGATTTATAAATAAATCTAAATTTAGTTTTAATAATATATTTTCATCTTAAAATTTGATAAATTTATTCTTCTAACATAAAATCTTATATAATCTTTATGCAATAACACACATCTTTAATTAAGAAATAAAACAAGGGGTTTTAGATATAAACATGAAACATGTGGTTTCCCTTGCAGTGTATGCCCAAGTTGTTGTTTGAATAGGGTCATCCCCTACTGTTAAAAATCTAGCTAAACCCTTTTTTATGATCATTAATCATTATTAGTGACCCATTCAACGTCAAGTAGTCACCATTAAACCCAATGGGCTCCACGTTAGCAATATGTTCTATCATATTATATCGACGTTGATCTGATATAGTCTCCATTATTGTCATTTCGTTGTTGAGTTTGTCTTAAAGATTTTCTAATTATGTGATGGATCAAAACCTTTAAAATATATATATAGACGACTTAACTTGTAATGTCGAGGCGTACACTTTGAACCTAGGCTACGAGATTTCTTATATGTTCCTTCATTAGAATAAAACTTGATTCTCTTTTAATTTTTTTTAAAAGAATTGTTAGGTAGTGTTTAATTTAGAATGAATCTTGGACCGCCATAGAATAATCATAATTAAATCCCACGCTTTGCACCGCCAAAATTGATTATTCTGACTCACCTCTACAAGCTTAACTGTGAGTCCTCACGGACTATGGACTATGATTTGCATGTGGAAATTAGTTAAAGCGAAAAGTCCACAAATGTACCCCTAATCATTTTCTTAATCATCGAATTCTTTATGCTTTAAAAATATATTTATTAAAGAATTTATATTTTATACAGTAACCCATTATATTTTGAAATTACAAGGAAAAACCAATGTTTCATATTTCATTTAAAATAATATTTTTTTACATATCTTAGAAATATTTGTTATCATTTTTCTTAAAAAATGTTAATAACAAAAAAAAATTTGTTTCTTCAGCTGTATTCCTTTTAAACCTTTTCAGGGATATATAAATGTGTGTAAGCCACTGGTCATCTTTCTTATTTTTTAAATTTAGCCTTTTTATTTATTTATTTAGTTACCTTTTTGATTTTAAGGTTTCATTTTGATTAATTTGAATTGATTTGTGTCACACACTTGACTTTAGTACTCAATGGATATTTTTTACTTACACAAAATTTTAAATTTGAGATCTTACTTAAGCGATATAAGTTACTTTATCACTATGTTCATATTTTTTTTTTAAATTTAACCTTTTTATTTATTTTGTTTGTGGAAAATTTTGATTAAGATTCCAAGAGAATGACGCTTTACTTTTCCCCGTGCCTACACGTTCATGTTAAATAAGATTGTGGTAAAGTCAAAAAGTAAGTCATCTCACTATTCTAAGTCAAAGATTAGAGGGCAAATTTTAATTTTACCAACGAGTTTTTTATTTAGTTCATTAGGGTGTATAGATTTATATTTTAGGGTCTATGATAATTTTTATAGTATTATTGAAACTCGTCATGTCGAATTTTTTTATTTAGCCTCCATGTATAATTCTTATCTTTCTAATTAATTTAATCAAAATAAAAAATCAAATCAATTCAACCTCACTCTAATTTTATTATTTTTACGCCTAAATTTAAAAAGAATGTTCTTAAAAACATAAATTAGATAAAGATTAATTTTGAAAAACATAATAATAAATTTTATGAAAAAATCAAAGTACACTAGGGGAGACGCATTGTAGTCATGGAGTCTGCCCACATTTCAATCGAAGACGCACTGAAATCCTTATGTCACACCTTGATTATGTAGTAAATGTATTATTCGAGTAAATAATTATGGTTCACCATTATTCTAGTAATTTTTTTCCAGACAATTATCGTAAAAAATTTGCCTATCATGGACTAAATAAAAAATCTGGAAAGAATATTCTTAAAAACATGTAGATAAAGATTAATTATGAAAAACCTAATAATAAAATTTAAAAGAAAAAACTGAAGTACACTAGGGAAACACATTGCAATCCTGACGTCTCCACACATTTCATTCGAAGACGCACCAAAATCCTTGCGTCACATCGTCGTTCTGTAGCAAATTCATTATTCGAACAAATAATTTTGGTTCACCATTATTCAAGTATTTTTTCCCATACCATGATCGTAAATTTTTACCCATCATAGAGACTAAATAAAAAATAAAATCATATGAAACAAAATTAAAATTTCAGAAGTTTTGAAATTATATATGTCGAGAGACACATATGATTTTATGTTAGGGACGAATTTGAACTTACAAATTTTCAGAGAGTGAACTTGAATTTATAAAATTTTACGGAACGAAAATATATTTTTAATAGAAAATATATAAAAAAATCTAAAATATATGATAATTTTATATTTTAAGAAGGGCGACTACCCAACTAGGTCCATCAATGTATGTTAGACTGTTGATATGCGTATGGTTCTGGTCTATGCATGTGCTATGCATTCACGTGTATGTGCTTTAAACAGGTGGTTAGTTTGTTAAAAGTTAGCTAAGGTTGTTAAGCAGTTAGAGAGAGTTTGTTGAGCCGTTATTGAGCCATTGTACACTTATAAATTGCTGCTTATGTTGATAATAAGAGATATACATTTCCTGTGTAATCACCTATTCTCTCTACTTCTCATTATGGTATCTTTCACCGGAAATTCTGGAACTCATCTCTAAAGCTTTCGCTGCTCAGTCTTTGTTGGTTGGTCATGGAGTCCTCCAAGAGCTTTGCGCACAAGAAAGTGAATGTTGTTCTAGATGAAATGAACTTTCTACTATGGAAACAAACAGATCTTGCTCACCGTGCGAAGTCACCGGCTTGAACGGTTACTGACCGGAGATCTGAGGCCACCACCAGAGATGATTCTTGGTGATAATGGTGCGATAACTGTCAACGATGCCTTCGAAGAGTTCGTCGCTCAGGATAGCGCATTAGCGTCCTGGCTCCTTTCTACTATCAGCCCCCATCTCTTACCGCAGTTTGTTGGAGCAGACTCGGCTGCTACGGTGTGGAGTATAGTACAGCAGTTGTTCTCCAGTAGGTCCACGACTGCAGCCATGGGCTTACATTGCAAGCTGCAATCACTGAAGAAAGGGAATGACAGCATGAGAGTCTATCTTACCCGTGTAAAGGAAGTATGTGATGCCCTTGCTTCCTGTGGAAGCGCTGTTTCACATGTTGGCCACATAGCCAGCGTCTTGAAAGGATTGCCCAGAGAGTACCAGCCGTTTATGGCGGTTATCACGATGATGAAAGAAACTTTGTCTTTGGAGGATCTTTACACCGTGCTTCTGGATGCTGAAGCTCAACTAGCAGGCTTCGATGAATCGGTGGATTTGCTACCTATGAGTGCTAATATAGCTCAGCATGAGGCCGACTTTTCTGACAATGGCCGGCGTGACTCCAGATCCTCACGATCGTCTTCAGTAAACCGGTCGGCTGGTCGTGGTCGAGGACGGACCCGAATCCAGTGCTAGCTATGTGGCAAACTAGGTCATCTCGTTGATCGTTGTTGGCACCGATTCGATGAAGACTTCATGTGCGTGACTTCTGACTCTCGTGCTCATAAGAATCAGTCTGCTAACAGTCATTACTCAGTTGCTGAATCCCCCAGCTCGGGTTGTGAGTGTTGTAAGGAACGCTCTCAGTCGGCAGCAGGGTCGTCGCAAGCCAATCTGGTCTCCAAATCGGCAGATCTATGGGTAGTCGATTTGGGTGCAACGCACCATGTTACTCCCGATGCCTCCAACGTTACAAATTCTACTGAATTTAGAGGCCCAGGTAAACTCACTGTGGGAGATGGAGTTCCCCTTAACATTAGCAGTATTGGTAAATCAGTTTTGGATTCTTCAAGAACCTTAATTTTGAATGATTTGTTGCATGTACCTCGTATAACAATAAATTTACTTTCGGTCTCCAAGCTTGCTAGGGACAATGCAGTTTACTTTGAGTTTCATGCTGCAAATTGCTTTGTGCGCGATGAATCTACTGGATAGGTTCTACTACGGGGAGAAGAAAAGGGTGGACTATATACATTTGCCTTTGGTTGTGCACTTAAAGAAGAACCACGTGCTGTTGCACATCTCGTAGCAACAGACGTTTCTCAAGCCCAGTCCGAGCTTTGGCACCGGCGTTTAGGGTATCATAATCAGTATGCA